ATCCCTACTCACAGCATATCACTCGATCCGCAGCGTTGACAAACACTGCAGCCACAAACCCAGATTGCGCCATGCGCATTTGCTCAGCGCATGCCAGCCACACATCCCAAACGCTTGCAAACATCGATCAAACATTTCTTGCAGATTCTAGCATGCATGAAACAGATCAAAAATTACCAACATGGTCACTGAGGCAAGCGGCAGGTCTAAGTGTGAGCTCCCCAAAAGGCCAATCTGTGACTGGCAACAAAACTACTTCGCTTCCACGCCTTTCCGTGGCTTGCTAGCAAACTCGCCACAATAAGCAGGAACGACAACTCCATAGGCACGGAAAATGGCGCTGGCCATGCGAGCTGCCAGCTTTGCTCCATCTTTATCATGTGCATTTCCATCTCCACTGAGATACTTGCGGTACGCGTTCGAGTAAACATGTCCAGCCTGTACATGATCCGGAGGCGCGTATGGGGACTCCAGATCCTCCAAAGCTGGGACAGCTGGATCCTCTACTGCCGAGCTGGTGGCTGCAGGAGCCTGGCGAGCAGCCTTCGGCTTTGGCTTTGGTGCAGCCACCACACCATCGGAACCTTTAGCTTGCTCACCCTGCCCACGCTTTGCGCGAGACTTAGATGATTCTGGACGGGGGGGCGCGATTTCAGCTGCCTCTCCCTTCTCATCAGAAAGTGGTTCAGGCGCCAGGGCTTTAGCCCTCCTCTTGCGCCTTTTGGAACCGTTGGCCTCACCATCCCCAGGTGCTTCCACGCCACGCTTCTGCTTGGCATTGTCACCCTTCTCACCCTTGCCGGAATTGATGGCATCCTTGGGTTTCCGACCCTTTCTTTTGCCCACAGCTGCCCCTTGCTCAGAAAACACTGCTACTCTGGGCTTCTCAAGCACACGCGCGACTTCAGCAGCAAAGGGGGCATCGAAGTGGCCATACTTATACCCCTGCCATGCCATGATTATAGTTGCTTTGCGGTCCACAAATGAATGCAAATCCGATACACTATATAGACATACAATATTGGAACGTAAAGTCCAAGCCACGTTGGCAGGATCCCGCGGTCCATCGAGGTCAACAAAATTGCCCACCTGCGGCGTAAATCCCACACAAAAGTCCAAGTTGTGTTTGAGCGTGTATGCGCATGACACTGATGCCTCCAATCCTTCCACCTTCAACGCTTTTGTGCACGTGTGCATGGTGCATTTGTGCATTTGTGACCACACATGCAAGCGAAGCGGTCCTTCAGTTCATCTTGGTTTGAAACGTTCACCTCAACCACTCAAAGGTTTATAATCAAGGAGATGTTAAAAGGTCATGTCAACTTCGATATGGCTTGCGACTATACAAATGTTTTGCATATGTGGAAAATGTAGCCATGGCACCAAGTAGAGAGCTTCTTTTGGAAGGTCTGGGTGTTCCCGGGAGCGGCTTTCCCGCATCAACTTTGCCACCTCCGGACAGTCACCCATGAATTCCATGTTTAACTCCGTTCAGCCAAGGTCACCTTGGCGTGCTTTGGTCCACCATCACCACGAGGCTCGCGCAGCTCCTCACACAATATGGGCTGCGCAGCGCAAACAAATGAACATATTTAATGGGCAAGGGTCTGCGGTCCACTTTCAGGACACCAAGATTCACCAAGTACCGGGCCCAGCCTCTTTGGGTGAAGGAGTTTTCATCTCAACCACGGGCCTGTCAGGAGCCTGCCAAAACATGCCACTTTAATTGGACATTTTGCTGCATGGAGTGGTCCAAGCCTTGTTTGGGTTGGTGTTCTCCAAGCACTTTGCCGATGAAGAGGGTTTTGGAGGAACCTGTCAGGTTTGTCCACAATTCCACCAGGTGCTGATGGAGCTTGGAGCTTGCCTGATCTCCAAGGCCAGGGCCACCATCAGGCACCTCCTGGCCCACATGCGCATCAGGAGACTCCACATGTCGCGATTAAACATGCCCAAGTTTCCTCATCCGAGTCCACAATGTCTACCATGCCATGGGGTTCTCCATCACAGTTGGCGGCCTGCATGGTGATAGTGACATTTGTAGCGGTGTATAGAGCATGGATTTTGTCATGTCTGATTTGCAAAACATTGCATCATGCTAACATTTGTTTAACTCTATAGGACGACGGCCATCCAACCTGAGCGTCCTGGGTTACATGGTCCAGACTGGACATCAAACCATCGCAAATAGAAATTCCTCGCACGAAAAGGTCTCGAAGACGACGCACTTCAGGGCGACCTTGGTCCAGGGCATGCTCATGCTGCGGCAGTTGTTTTTTGCATGAGGCCCCAACACTCTTCCGCCATGTGAGCTTGTTCAAGACCAGCAGTCATCATGTGGGCCATGATTTCCATCATGTCCGAGGTTTCACTCAAAGGTTGATTTTCAGAAACAAAACGCTCTCCTGGGCCTTGGGGTGGGAGTCCACAAGCAGTCCGGACTTTGTTTGCAACCTCGTTCGTAAATACACGAGGGCACTTGAAGTTCTTATCCAAAGCCCCCGGGAGCACTGGAAGTGTTTGCGGAGGTGGCTTGTCCTCTTCCACCTCCTGCGGCGGCTTGAGCATTGCTGCGTGCTTAGTTGTGAGTAAACAAGCAAGAGACAGCCTCCTCGAAGATCCCATTCACACCATCAAATTGGCTATCATGGCAGAATTCCTGTCCATGGGTTTGGGTTCTCAAACTTGAAGCCCCACATGTCGCCAAACATGCAAAATCATTGTCCTCATTCTGCAGAAGAGTGTCCGTCACTTGGGTGTCCTGTGGATAAGAGATGGTTGCATGGTTGGTTAGTTGATAGTGTTGCTAGAAAAAACTGTGAATCAATGTCCTCAACCTGCAGAGGAGTTTCCACCAATCGGGTGTCCTACAGAAAGCTAAGATGCATGGTTGGTTAGCTGCATAGAAAAACTGTGAATCAATGTCCTCAACTTCCTCAACGGGGGGAATCAGTTCTTGGGTGTCCTGCGGAACAATAAGACAGTTGCACGGTTGGAAAGACTGTGAATCAATGTCCTCAGGGATAGGAGCCATTTGGCTGTTCACAGTGTCCTGCGTTCAAACTATAGTTGCATGGTTGGTTACATGATGCAAAACCATGAACCATGTTTCGACAACATGTCGAAGCAGACCTCAGTCTCCAAGGTTGAGGCCGCCGCTCCTTCGGATTTGACCTCCGCTCTGCCTGAAAAAACAAGCGCTAAGCTTGACTGCTGGTATGGGTACACGGTTCCACACCTGCAACTTGGGCATAGATCCCAGCAAGTCGCTCAGAAACAATTATGATATCATCTTCATCTCCAACATCAGCCACCACAGAATCACAGGCAGGTTTCTTCGAAGGAGGGGTGCGTGTTTTTGAAGGGTTCTTCCTCATACGCTGTCGAAGAGCTAGTGCAACCTGGGCCCAAATGTGTTTGTCTATGTGGACTGAGGAAACAAACAGCGCTAGCAATTTTAAATACCTTTGCTGACATGGGGCACGAGTTTTTGTGCGCCTTTGTTCTGCTTTTCGCCAATAGCGACGAGCGTGCGACATCAACGCAAATAGGTTGTACCCTTCCTTGATATGAGGTTGTGTGAAAACATCAGTGCATATGTGAACTTTGCAACACTCTTCAAAAATGCGGTCGGGGATCATCCAATGCCCATTTCTTGTGTTGTCGCCGGTTCTTCCGATGAGAGAGTTTGTATTCACAGGCTTCATCTAGCCGCGAAAAGGCGAGTTGGAAAGAACCAAGGGTATAGTCACCTGGCCCACACAAAGTAAACCATTCACCATGTGCGTACATAGAACCTATATACATATGCTTCCAATCTTTCTCACGTGAAGGACTGAGGCGTATGCAAAGCGGTTTGTGCTCAGCCAAGTGTAAGATAAGATTCAGGTAGTTGTCCAAGTCATCGTACGTAATGCAACAAATGTCTTCGATCTTGTGAAAAAGGGTATTCAATGGTGGCTTTCGGGAAGAACACTCGATGAACGCTTCCGCCGGTAAACACGCATTCAATGCGCCTTGGATGAAAACCAATGCATTCAGCACACACATATAGAACCCATTGAGAGCGACTGAGAGATATGTACGATTTCACCTTGCATTCCCACATATTCCCACAGCCAAGTTACTAAAGACTGCATCAACTTCGGCTTCAGCCATTGCTGGACCCACAGTCAGCAGTCACCGCACACAAGATAGAGCCAATGTGAGCTAACAGGATTCCAGCAAACTTGCAACCCTCCACCTCCAACCCGACACAAGCGTGTAAAATTAAAAATGCTTGTTCGCGGTCAAAATCAGGCCTTGGAGTCTTCCAAGACCACGTTTCATCCCAGTAGCGCCACAAAGCAGGCCATGCACGGCCCCAAAGGAGAGGCATGGTTAATGCAGGTACAGAGTAAATGCCGTTAAATGAAGAGGCTGTAACCTCACCGCTGTCCTTTGCCAACCACACAAAGTTTAGTGGGTGTTACAATAGGCTACATGTGCGTCTTCTATGACTTTGGCCAGTGGGCACTGTCGGGTCCTCTTGGGGCGCCCTGGGGCCTCCCGCCCCGTCATGCCCCTTGCTATGAGCCATCACCACACCCCGTGACAGGTCATGCCCTGTGCTCAGCACACCCCCACTGCATGCCACGTGCGGGTGACAGTCCGGGTTGTGTGGGTGACACCCCCTGGAGCCTTAGGGTAGGACATCTAGGGAGGGGTTCCCCAAAATCGCTAAAGAAACAAATAATAGCATAATTAATTTATATTATATTTCGTTTTGTGGTGCAGGGACGTGCACAAATGGGTAGCGCAGATTCGAAAAGGTGCACGCGTCTTGTTTGGTGCCGCTGGCTGCAGATTGAAGAACACTTCCCCCTCCCAAAACGAGAGTTCCCAGTACCATGCGGGGTCGTCTCCACCGGACCCTCCACCGGCAGAGCCTGGCGGAGAGGTCCGCCGGAGGCAAATGGTGGAGGGAGGGGGACCTTCTTTTCCCCCCACCGGACCGCGAGGACCATGGCTGGAAGATCATCTTGTCCATCGTGCTCCTTGACATGAAGGGATTGGGAGGACCACACGGTCCGTGTGGGTGTGGTCCTGACCTTTGGGAAGGGTTTTCAGCTGGAGGCAACCAAAATTGGAACCTTTTGGAGAGGTGAAATGCAAGCTGAATCTCCGACTTCAGCGTCGCTCAACCCTGACCCTGTATACAGAGCACCGGACCGGCCGGAACCGTCTGTATACGGTCCGAAAAAAGAACAGTTCTCCTCCAAATGGCACTGAGTCGTACCATGCTGTGCGGCTGTGCCAGCGCGTCCTTCAGACGCCGCGCTAAAGGCGTCGTGGTAGCCGCCTCAATTGGGTGGCTCCACGTCCGAAGCAACCACGAGTCATCCGAAACCGCTGTAGCGGTCGGCTGTGCACGCGGAATTTGCTCGCCTGTACACGCGCTTGGATTTGCTCGGTTGTGCACGCGCTCCTCGGCTGTACATGCGGCTTGCTCGGCTGAATGAATGAATGAACGAAGCAATGAGCAAAAAGAGATCATCATGTAGATGAATGTCCCCCCACCCCCCCCATCCCAACCCAACATCATCAATCAAACGCAGAGCATTTGTGTGACATGGTACTGTGGAAGCAATGAGCAAACAGAGATCATCATGACTCAATTTGTGTGTGCGCAGGTGAGCGAAATCTGTGTGCGCAGGTGAGTTAAATGTATCATGCAAGGCTGTGTGCGCAGCTGAGCGAATCTTGTGTGCGCAAGTGAGGCGCCGTTCGTTCAAAAGGTGGGTCGATTCTGGGATGCCATCCAATTCCGATTACTAGAGCCGCCCATGAATCTGAAGCAGTTTTACACGCCCACATCGGGGTGCTTAGATTACAGTTCATCAAGAGTCGACGGACGCCTCTGCCAAGACACACCCCACAGACTGACGCCCCTCGGATTCGCTTTCGCCGCTGTACCCGTGGGATGAGTCAGGTCCTGTTTCCTTGCTTTGAGGCTGGGGATCTCTGAGGAGGTCAGCTGGAGAAGCGTCTACATGGCAGACAACAACAACTCGATCCAGGCGAGCAGAAACCGCACAGAACGAACGGAGGAGAACACGAGGACGGACTGCGCGAGCGAAAGGCGCTGAACAGCTGCAGTTCAGGATCCTGGCGGGCAGTTTCGTGTGGCAGGAAGCCACTGGTTTATGGATGTTTATGGCATGTTTACGTTCAACCTTTGCTTGAGATGGAACCCGCGCACGATTGTTTCCAGTGAGTTGAAAATAACACAAAATAACATCATAGGACAGATTTGCTTCAGAACTTGCTCCTATAGGGCAAAGTTGCCTCCTCTCAGAGGGTAGGTGTTGCAGAGCGGCAGATGAGTAAAACCCAGTCGAGGTCTTGAATAGGACTTAATTCTGGATCATGTAAACATGTTTTTGTCATCTCTTCTCCTGTGGGTTATGTGCCACCGAAGCAGAGACAACAATAATATACAATAACAATTAACACTGTATGCACGAATTGATTGCTGTGCCAGTTGCATGTGAGGAACAGGATGATTTTTTTCAACTTGTGTCACCTCCAAGTTGGAACTCTATTTTCTGAGAAGGTGCATCTCTAACAATTTTTTGCGGAGCATGAGCATGCTCCAGACCCAAAAGGGAAGCTGGAGACATTTGGAGACCAAACATTTATATTTAAAGAACTCAGAACTCAGACATTATCTTGTTTATACATCAGGACAAGAATTGCAAATGTTTATAAACAAGAACTCAGAACTCTTCAAGAACTCGTTTTTACCGCACGCAGGCCTTCACATGGGGCATGAACCATGTCGTCGCCGGCACGGGGATTGACAATCCATGGGTCTATGGCATTGTCAGCGCGCTACTGGGCACGGCATCGGCTGGGAGGGTGTTTGCATAAGAACATCTTGGACAGACTACTATATAGACAAGTCCATTTAATGGGTCTACACTTCCTCCAACAAACGTATGTTGAGAAACCCACACCCGTTTTCTTTGAGTTCCTTTTTCAATGTTTTTCCAATGGCCATCCACTTGCGTGCATGATGTTTTGTTTCAATGATGGCCCACCAAGTGTTGCGCTCTCACCGAGAGATCAGCAAGGGCGGCAAGGAGACGGGTCTCATGGGGTCCAGTCCTGGAGTCCTGGAGTGGTTGGAACACAAAGCCTGTGGACAAAGCCTGGTCGAACGTCCAGCATCCTGGAGCATCCTCCAAGTAGTCACAGGTTGAAGAACCCTGGTTCGACTATCCTAGTTCGGTACCCCTGGTGACGGGTCCGAACGGTCACTGGCTACCTCGGTTTTCCGACCCGTTGGGGGTCGGATGTCAACCACTCCTTTCTCGTCCACCCAGCCCTCTCCGGCCCTCCCGGCCGACGAGGGCATACGCCTTCCTGCTGGGTGTGTCGCCCTCCGTTGGGCTCCGGTGCTTTAACCACGCGGCCGTGGAGTACTTCGTCATTGCCGCTGGGGCCTGGCCCATATTGGCCCTGAAATCGGGGGGGCAAGACCCAGGTGACTTGTTGTTCGATATTTTTGGATGATGCTTGAATTTTGTAATTTGCATATTAACACACAAGAAGTATCAGGAAATTTGATTTTAGCTTGAGGGCGTGTTTCCTCCAGGTTGGACATTGCTTCCACCTGCTAGTGGCCTTTCCTGCTGACCAATTCATACTGTAGATGCACCCTATAGGGCTCAAAATACCTCCTAACTAAGATGGTATTTGGGAGGGTTTGGAGAATCCACTGTACCTTCTGAGAAGGTATGTGGAGCCCTAGGGGTATACAATTTTCAGAAGTTCCATTTCAAGTTCAGTTTGGCCATCAGACTCCAAAGCATCCCCCCTTAGTACATAGACATGTTGTAAACCGTAAACCATCATAAAAGGTGCTGGTCAAATGCGCACCTTGATGCATGTCGCATGATGTCGCGTCTTCAGTTTCTGGAATCCGTTGATCCTATCGCGGACCGCGGTCCGGTCCCGCCATATCGGTCGATCATACCGGTGGTGTGCAATTGGGGGTCACCGGTGGTGAGTCCTTCACAGGGAAGACGTTTCCGGGGTGCCCTGGACCGGGAGATCCCTGTCTGTAAGTCTGGGGCGATCGCCCACTCTGGAATGAAGGTGCTGGTATCATAAATACATTTTAGATTAGTTCTAATTCTAAATCTATTGAACTCTTGTTTCTAATAGCTTCTTGTTCCAGTAGTAAGGCCAGGAGCCCCGTTCGTAGCGTCCGACCGCTCCGTTCGTTGTGATGCCCTTTGCTCCTAGTAGCCAACATTGCTCCAATCCCCCACCCTGAAGGCCTGGACTGCCCGACGCCCTCGGGCACGTTGTTTTCCCGAATCCCGCCGTGGGCGAATCCCGCGCGACTCCGAGGACAACTTGGTGAAGCCTGAGGGCCATCCGATTTGGCTTCCGCAAAGCGTGAGCCACATCGTGTAGAGTCGGTATTTTGTTGGGCGCCTTCTTTTCTGCAGAGAGGAGAATGGTTTGGAGAGGACACACACAAATCTGGACTTGACTGTGCATGTAACTTGCTTTGCTTTTTGCTCTAGACACGCACGCCGGCGTGTCTTGACTGCGCACGCCCTTCCTCGGACAATAGATGTTGCACAGTCCAGCAGTGGGGGGCCACATCAAGGGGCCTTGCTGCATGCCCTTTGCCACAGACTCGCTATGGACACATGCGGTGTGGACATGTATGCATCCAGCAAGTTATGGCAAGATAAACACAGTATATATAGCAGGTGCATCAAGATCATATGAAGAGGACATATATTTTGGTAGTTTCTAGGTTTGACCTTCTGAAGTTCCGTGTTCCTGCATGCTGTTTGCTGCCAGTATAGCTGTTGTCTAGCTGCGCCATGTCTCCGAAAGTGCTGAAAAGTGCTCCGCTGCAACAAACATGGAAGTCAAGACTAGTTTGAGCATGCGGGCTCATAAGAATTCCAGAAGTACCAGGGCGAAACAGTGCTTCAGTAGCTACTCGGCTACTTTGCAGCAGGTTCCCTGATTTCCCATCCTACAGTGATCCGTTGCCCTGCAGGTTCATGAATGGATCCCTCTCTCCTCCCTTGCACGGTGCCAGGGAACCAAGTTCTCGTGTGGGAACACGGTTCGGGCGTTGGCTGTGGGGCCCTGGCCGCATCGAACGTTTCAAGGCGAACACGTTTCAAGTCTAGCCCCTAGCCTAGTATGGCGCAGTCGCTTGAGATCCTTTGCATAGGAAGTGGCCTTTCGGGACTGGGGGGGGGTTCCATCCTGGGCTTCAAGGGCCATAGGCCACGGGAGGGCCTCAGGGCCCACCATTGTCAGGTTTATGATGGCGCGTTTTCCACAGTGCGGTTCACCAAGATGAGAAAGATCCCCTGAAGTCGTAAAATCAAGACCTGACTTGGTGACACTACAGGACACTTGAATTGCTGAAACACCTGGCGACCATAAGCCAAATTAAGCCAACATCGTTTCTGCAGAAAGACGAACACCACAATAGACTCCAATCACAGAGATGGGCATTAACAGAGGAGGAGGCCCACTTTTCTTCAGCCACAGCTCTTGGCTTTTGGTCTCACCAAAGGCCTTTGTTTTGTAAGAAGGTCTTCCAGCTTAAGCCTCAACGGGGTGTTGATTGGCTCTCCGGGTGCTCACAATCTCCGCATCTATCCACTCTGCCATCATTCATTGATGGTCTAACACCCAGACACTCAGACACTCGATGTATTTACCAATGAGAGCAGTTGGGGTGGTTGAAGCAGGATCATTTGATCGGCTGTTCTTTTTCCGGTCCCAGGAAGGTTTGTGACATTTTGTGACCTCGGGACCGGTCTGATTAGATGGTCTTTTAAAATCAAGGCCACCGACCTACTCTCTTTCATGGAAGCTGCATGGAAGCTGAGCAGACCCCTTGTAGTGGAAAGGGGTATGCTCCACTTCCAGGTCTTATTTCAGGCGGTCTAAAAACACCGGAACTACATGTCATCCCTTTGATCTCTTCGATCGGACTTGTCATGGCCTTGTCATGGCCAGCGTCGCAACACGTCAGAGACACCCGGGAGACCCAGCGAAAGTCCGGCGAAGATAAACAGCAGGGCCAGTAGATGTGGGATCCTATCGCAGCGGATTTAGTGTTCATGCCTATAGAACCTCTTCTTGGGCAGAAACATTGTATCCCGCGGCCAGTGCGACGCTTGAGAGAACCGTTTCTCATGGTTTCAACCGCCGGCGAAGCTGGTTGGTGTTTTTGGTTTCCAGCAAAGGCAAGTTGTTCTGTGCACAAGAAGGACTGGGTGCACCCTTGTATCCCTGTGCATGTGCAACATATGTAAGAAACCATTTGTAAAATTTTGTAAATATATGTGCTGTGCCTTCATATGCATTCTCGAAAACATTAAACAGATTTGAGAAGCCAGCGTTTGTTCAAAGTATACAGTTTGGGGGCTATTGTTCTTGGCCAACTCTGAGTTAGCGCTTCATCAAATACGTACCTCCACCCTCTAGGGTTGAGTGCCCAAGCGACAGCCAGGATTCGGATGGACGACTCCTTGACATCCCCCCAAGCCGGCCTAGGCCATTTCCACCAAGCTTTGGTGAAGTGTTTCGTTGTTTGTGGTGTCAGTAGCCAAGTAGCAAAAACTTGGTTGGTGCGCATGCAACAACAGTAGCATTTGGGACGACTTATAACAATGAAAAACACACAACTCCACTACATGCCAAAGGCGCGAACGCGTGTCTATGACTGCATGTCACACCACTGGAACAGCTTGCCTGTAGCAGTAAAGCCATGCTCCGGGAATGTCCCGGCGCATCTCTTTGGGCAGCAGGAAACATGGGGACCATCATCAGAAATCGTCGGAGAAGTCTGTGCGTCTCCATGTTTTTTGTTTTTGCCCTGGGTGGAAGTTTTGCCAGATGCTGCAGCGGCATCCTTTTTGGTCAGCCTTGGTCAGATGGTTGCAGAGGAGTCTTTTCTTCCGTACTATCTGATTGTGTTTATCTTTGACCAAACGCAAATAACACAAAGTCACACCAAGTTCCGAAGACACACGCACAATGGACCAGGGCAGACCCGTGTCTTCCAACGGACAGCCCTGGTTTGGAAAGGCGCACAGCACAGCCATGCCACGCGGTCCTCGCACTCGCAAGGGCGAGACGGTGAGAAGTGGCGAGACGGTTTTTCTCGGAGACAGGCGTCGAGGTTCGCCAGCATCGAAATACCAATTCTTTTAGGTATTTTTATTAGCAGCATCAAAGCGGTCTCCAATGGAATACCCAGCCCACTACTTGTGCATCTCCGTTGGGCACCCCGGCATGAAGGTCCAGGTAGGTCTGAGGGTGTTCCTTCTGTCCCAGTGAGTTGGTCGATTCATTCGCACTGGCAATGAAGTGTGCTGGCCCAGCTGCCACTTGAGAACAGGTTCCCCCTGAAGAGAACAACATGTGTTTGCGGGGAGGTCTTGAAGGATGGGTTACGGCCCTTGATGTAACACAAGGAAACCAAGCAGAATGATGGCAATTATGGATATTTATCGTGTATGTATATTTAAGGGCTGCCGCCCAGTGCCGCCGACCCCAGGAAGGGAAACACACATGGGGACACCGCGGCGTGCTGCATCGGCTACGTGGAATCCCCAATGTGAGGAGGGGGAAGAGAGGGGGTAAACATTAGAGATATTAAAGGGGGTGGGGCAGACAGAGGGCATGGTGACTCCACGGTGTGCTGCATCGGCTACGTGGAACCCCCATGTGGATGTTAAGGGGCTGGAGGACGCAGCAGGGACGGGGCTGTGGCAGTGTAGACGGGGTAGAACTGGTCGCTATGTGGAGGGACCTGGCGCCAGTATAGGGTGCAGGCAAGAGACGGGGACACCACGGCGTGCTGCATCGGCTACGTGCAATTCCCAATGTGAGGAGGGGGAAGAGAGGGGGTAAACATTAGAGATATTAAAGGGTGTGGGGCAGACAGAGGGCATGGTGATTCCACGGTGTGCTGCATCGGCTACGTGGAACCCCCATGTGGATGTTAAGGGGCGGGAGGACGCAGCAGGGACGGGGCCATGGCAGTGTAGACGGGGTGGAGGTAGAGGGCGCAGGCAAGAGTGTGGAGGTTTACTTGGGGTGGCAGTGGGACATGGTGCAGGCAAGAGATGAAGTAGGGCAGGCGTGCTGCATCGGCTACGTGGCATCCCCAATGTGAGGAGGGGGCAGGCAGTGCGACATGGCGCCAGTATAGGGTGCAGGCAAGAGATGAGGTAGGTGGTAGGGCAGAACACATGGTGACTCCACGGCGTGCTGCGTCGGCTACGTGGAATCCCCAATGTGAGGAGGGGGCAGGGATGGGGTAAGCGTTAGAGATATTAAAGGGTGTGGGGCAGACAGAGGGCATGGTGATTCCACGGTGTGCTGCATCGGCTACGTGGAACCCCCATGTGGATGTTAAGGGGCTGGAGGCGGGGCCGTGGCAGTGTAGACGGGGTAGAAGTAGAGGGCGGAGGCAAGAGGGATGAAGTGGGAGAGAAAAGGAAGGAAGTGGCCATCGCTACTATAGGGTGGAGGCTACCGCTAGTAGGTTGGAGGCCATGACTACTAGAAGGTGGAGGCCATTGCTGTAAGGTTGGAGGCCATTGCTACAAGGTTGGAGGCCATCGCTAGGCCATCGCTTGTAGGGTGGAGGCCATTGCCACTAGGGTCAAGGCCATTTGGGTTGGAGTCCATCGCTTTTTGTGCCTTTTACCTCAAGACCACAGTTATACAGATCATGTTTGCTGGACCTAAGAGTTAGTCTTTGTCTCTCATTGTTTTCGAATGTCCCGTTCCAGGGTTTTTTGGAGTGCTCCACTCTAGAGAACTGCTTGCCAAACGAAGAGTTAGTTCTTTGTTCCATGATTGTCCTGCTCAATTGGTTTCGACGTGCTCCACTCAAAAGGAGGGCCAATAAACACGCTGCGACAATCCGCAGTAGCGAACAACAGCATTCGCTGCATACGAAATGCGGAGCAGCCCTAGTTTCACGGACAGAGTGCCCGCAGCCACGTCGTGAAAAGTGGCACCAGGAGTTGAAAGGACATGCGCAAAGCGGCGGGTGCATCGGTGGAAGAGCTCCGGCCAACTTGGGCATATGTGTTACTAGGGAAAGGTCGATCTTCGTGTGCAGAACTATACTTTTCACCGATAGAAGTAGCAGAGCTGCTGTCAGAGGTTCTATATGCAAGATTTAAGGGCTGCTGCCCGGCGCCACTGCAAAAGGCGCGCGCATAAATATATATATATATATATATTCTACACGCAAGCGACTCACAAGTATCGGAGGTGCGATCAGAGGTTACATGTGCAATAGACACACAAGAGGCCCCATATTATCTATATAATAGGCGTGGTAGTAATTAGACCCTTTAAGGCCCCTCTGCCACGACCCGCCATGACCCCACCCTATTCAATGACTGCATGCTAAATGTTTGGGGGAGCAAGGGAACAACCGCAGGGCACTGGACTTCTCGGCTATGAAGC